CTCCGAGCCCCAGCCCGTTGCCACCGCATCGCGCAGGGCCTCTCTGCCTCAGCACGACTGACAGTTTAGGGGGGCGACTGTCGTGGGGTCCGTCCTGCACATTGTCGAGACTTTAGTAACATCCCTGGCCTCTTCCCGCTCGATGACACGTGCTCTCTCTGTCCCAGCTGGTTAGTGGGAAGGTCGCCGAGCACCTCCCAGGCCAAGTGCCTTCGGGGCGGAGGCCCTGGCTTGGCCGGTCTCGCAGTGTCCTTGCCTTGCGGCCCCCGTGGAGGGCAGGACCGAGAGGGGGAGAGGAAGCCCGGGCCTCGGCCGCTGTGTCTTCGTTTTGCCCGGGAGGGGCTGGCCGGGCTGCAGTGGGTCCCAGAGTCCTCTGCACGGCAGTCGCAGGGTCCGAGGCCGAGACCGGGCTGCAGTGGGTCCCAGAGTCCTCTGCACGGCAGAGGTCCACACAGCTGACAGAGTCAACTCGCAGGGTCCGAGGCCGAGACTGGCACTGGCCTGCAAGCTGCGAGTCCAGCCAGGAGGTGTGTAGGTCCGAAGGCCCTCGTAATACCGAGGTGGCGGCGTCATAAGTGGGGAGCGATGGGATCTCAGATCCGAGTGGCCGTGAAGCTGTCACTCTCTGGGCGACATCACGAACCGGCTCGGCGCCCACACCGACGGCTTCCTCGCAGGAAGGGAATCATTTTCCTCGGGTTAGGTCTCTGCCGCTGAGCTAACGTGACCTTGATTTACCTCCAGAGAGCCAGTCGCATTAACCCTGGAGCCCCGCACAGGGTTTGCGGTAAAGCACACTCCTTCTGGAATGTCCCGAAGGGGGCTTTATGCACCAAATCTGAGCACTATGCTTCAGGTGCTTCATTCCACTTATGTATTTTCCACCTCAAGACAAACACGCTGCCTGTTTGGGGTCCGTTCCTCAGAGCTCACAGAGGCCCCTCCACGCCATTCCCGGTCCCTGTCACTCGAGACACCGCCCCCCCCCCAAATAAAAACGACATCCGGATCATGGGCATAATTGCATGTGTCTTTTGTATTTCTATCTTAAACGTTCAGTATAAGACAGACGGCTGTACAAGATGTCAAAACACGATCGGGCTCTGGGGGAAACAGGATTCGTTGGCTGCTTGAGGGAGCAGCAGATAGAGTCCTCAGCCGCTCGCCGCGGACCTGCTGTGCTGAGAGTTACGAAAATCTTGGAGGACGCAGGTGTGTGAAGCTGCAGACGACGCGTCGGGAAGGACGGGTCACGTTTCTGCCGGGACGGCCCCACCGCATTGTTTCAGGGACACGCACCACCGTCATTAATAACAGATAAATGTCATGGGCGGTGGGGAAATATTTAAAAATTCAACGGTTTCCACTTAAGTGGCTCATGAATTATACATTTAATTAAGAAAAGCCAAATGGGAAGGATTTCACACGTTTAATTTGCAGGGTATCTTTTTCTTTCCCCATTAAAAATACCCAAATTAGGCACCCAGGAGCTGGCGATGACATGGCACGGAGGAAGGCCGCGGCGCGGACTGTTCTGGGGACAGGCGTCCGTGTCAGGAAGGAAGCTCGCGACAGCACCGGCCAGCCGCCCGGGGCGGGGCAGGAAAGGGCCCCTGGATTCTCTGTCCCGCCGCCCGTTCACCGGGACGACAAGAGCGAGGGCTGGACGGCACCCCGACCCTCCTTCGCAGGCATCCCAGCGTCTCCGGCCCGAGGCGCCCGGTCCTCCAGGCTCCCTCGCCGCCCCCTAGGCAGGTGTCCAAGGGGCGCCCCGCCCCCCGTCAGGACCCACGCTTGCCTTTGCTCCTTCATGCAGAGGACCCTGAGGTTCGCTCTTGATGCCGGGGACTGTCAGCGCGGAGATGGCCCGGTGCCAGCGTCCCTGGAGGCTGTCAGGACGCCAGTTCCCGGAGCAGCGGTGGGGCCCGGGGTGGGGGGCGCGTCGGGCCACGGCCTCCTGCGGTGTGACGCGCACTCGGCTCCAAACCCCGCTCTCGGGCGGCCGCTCCGCAGAGAGGAATTACTTTTTATAGGGTTCACAATGCGTTCTGTCCCTGCTAATAAAGCTATAAACACGGGAGTGACTTCGAATGACAGATTAACCTTTAGTTCTAGAAGATTCTGCGGGAATTGAACTTGGGGCAGGAGCGTTGATGGGGACGGAACAGGGGCGGGGAACAGCTGTCCCGATGTCACAGGCTGGGACGTGCAGGCAGCTCGGGGTTTGCGAGAGCTCTGCGGTGGGGACTCCATGCAAACCTGCGGAGCGGGCGGTGGTGGCAGAGGACGAGCAGAGGGTTTGGCATCTCGGTGGCCCAGGCTGAGGTCCGGCCCCGTCCGCGTGTCCGTGATATCGCTGTGGGAAATGGCCTTTGCGCCCCGGCTCCAGGCCCCTCCCGTGCGTAACGGGCCGGCCAGCGGCCACCAGGCGGCCTCACCGCACGGATCGCTGGGGTGATGGAGCAGGTGTGACCTGAACGCGCTTTCTGATTTCCGCGTTGTCCTTTATGGAACCTTTTCTCCTGCTGGACCCCGTTCTTCCAGCAGCCGCTGAAAGCTCGGCTGTCGAAGGATACACCACGTAGCGGAACAGAGCAAAACGCTTTCGCAGGGAAAGAACTCGCCGGGGGAGGGAGGGGCGTGAGATCATAGGGTAAAGGAAATGAAGATTTGGGGGGACCGGGTGGCACCCTGTCATTCTCGTTGAGTGAAGGGGGTGACCTGGGCTTTTAGGGAGGGGAGCCTGGTCCTCTCCCCAAACAGCTGTCGAATAAACACCCCGAAGCTGAGACACGGCCTTGGAAATTTGCTCGCGATCCTGTCGGCTCCACAGGAGGCTCAAAGGCCGAGGCGTCACTAACAGGAGACTCTGAGCTGCATCTTCCCTCCTCTTTATACTGAAGAAAAACATCCTACCAGCGGGCTCTCTGGTTTCCAGCAAAAACTCTGAGCCTCTCTTTGGCGGAGATGAGCAACTGGCTTAGAAGTGAGGCAGCGAAGGACATTGGCGACGAGGCGGAGACCTCCCGAAATGACGGGGACCTCAGCGGGGCCGGCGAAGGAAGACGAAGGTCTGACACCCGGGAACAGCGCAGGAGCATCAAAGCGCATTTCCAAAAATGAAACAAGAAGCGAGCCGCGCGTGTGGATGCTCGATCCCAAAGCGTGACTCTTAGGGGGCCCCAAGGGACGCTGCGGGTGGGGAAGACCACCCAGAAACGTAGCTCCGACTGCCCATCGACTGCAAAAATGAACCTTTTTCGACATCTCAAGCAAAGCTCATCCATCCTCTGCTTGGTCACGTCTCGTGATGGACAGCGCGTTACCTCGTAAACCAGCCGCTGCTCTAGCTCCGACGTGCGGACCTGCCTTCGGGTGCTAAGGGTGTTCTGTCACCCCCACCGGCCGCAGTTACTGCTGTTGCGTTCTGGGCCTCGCGGGCAGGACGACCGTAGCATTTACCGTCCAAACGGGGATATGTTTGAATATAAGAGAATATTACAGTCCCCCACGCGGAGAAGGGCCCCGTCTCGTCTACACATGGGTCAGCAGGGCACAGTCCCCTCAGCTGAGAGGGAATCCAGTAAGGGACTGCATTTCCTTTCTGTCTTCCAGGTTTATCTTACGCGTGGACCTTCAACGATAACCCTTTGCACGTCCAAGAGGACAGCAGGCGGTTTGTGTCTCAAGAGACGGGGAACTTGTACATCGCCAAGGTGGAGCCGTCAGACGTGGGCAACTACACCTGCTTCGTCACGAACCGGGAAGCCCAGAGGAGCGTCCGGGGGCCGCCCACGCCCTTGCTGCAGCGTCCCGACGGTAAGACGCTGGCTTGTCTGTCTAGGGGACAGGCTCTCGGGGCCTGGGGAGGTCGGCGGAGCCTTGGGCTTCCCTCTGCTTCAGGGGGAGACACATCGTCTCTGAGTTGAGCTCAGCTCACAAATGTGATGAAAATCAGGTCTTATCAAAAATGATAACAGAAAATTCTGTGATTCGCCCCAACGGGCCAGAATGCATGATTCTGGATCTCTACGGTGCTGTGTCTTCTCTGCGGTGGGACAGACCGTCTCGTCAATGCCGAGGGAGTACTTTGTGGAAACTGGTGTTCGTCTGGGGGGCAGGCGTGTGTGTGCGCACGTGTAGGCGCTGCCGAGTTGATTCATTGAATCGATGTGTTTTCAATGATCGTGTGACGCAGCTTCTCTTTAATGCCTCTTTCTTTCCCGCATTTGTCTTTTTTTGTTCACCTTTTGTTTACCTGACTGGAGAAATGGGGGGCGGGGGGAATGACCTCCGAAGAAAGGAAAGCAAGCCAGCGTTGATGACGAGCATCGCAGAGATTCATAGTCATGATATTGCTCCAGGAAGCGTATGTCAGACGGGTCTCTGACGAGTTCTGAAGCTCGTCAAGTCATAGCTGGTGCAAGATCGAGAGAACAGAAAACCCCAGGAGAGTCACTGAAGTAGGCAAATCCTCCAGTCGACTCTGTAATTAAATATTCACAGTGAGAAATGGAAAGATGGAAAGTCTGCTCATGCATTTTTAGGATCCGATTCTGGACTTGAAATGGGATGCCTCGCAGTTTTCCTCCCTCTGCGGAGTTTAAGAAAAGACGATGAGGCTAAGAATGGCCAGTGGAGTCGCTGGCTTGCGAGCCGTCACGCGCAGAGAGTTCTCCTTTTTCTGTTTATCCGTCCACCTTTTTCTGTTTATTCTTAGTTCCGGCCCCTCCCCGTCCCGACTCCTTTACGTCTCCGTCCCTTCTACCCCCTTCAACACGTTTCCATTAACAGCAGACGCGATGTTTAGAAAGTGAAACTTCTCCCCAAAACAGTCACTCAGAAAGTACCAGACATCAGGAACATGGAAAATAAACCACCGACTTAGGTGAATAACGCGGTGCTCTCCGCCCGCTCCCCAGAGCCCGTGTGAGCGCCCGGAAGGGTCGAGGTCTTAAAAATGAGGTTTTCCTATTATGTATGTGTTTTGCAACTTTTGCCTTTCGTGCAATTGTACCAGCCACCAATAACCATTTATTACTCCAGTGTTTGGTGTTTAAGTAAAGAGACGATCGAAAGTTTGAATAATCTCAACTCGTCATTGGTTACATTCATCAGACTAAGGAGGCCAGTCTCGAGACGCAGCCCTGCCTGTCGCAACTCCTCGGGCACAGAGCTTATTTAAAACACCGTAGGCTGCTGTCCGTTCTTGCCTTAGCCACACCCGCAGTTCCTTACTGGAAATTTTAAAACTGAAAACAAGCATTTTTTTTTTTTATAAGTGCACAGTAACCTGATTTAGTGGCAAAACCTCAAGAAAATGACAGGAATATTTTTGTGTTTACGTATCCCAACTGGTGTGATTATTTCATGGATTTTGTTGCAGATACACTGAGATTTTGAGTTGAGAGATGCCGTGTCAGACCTCAGATGGCGTTAACCAAAACTTCTTTATTCCCCAACCGATCTGACCCCATGAGTTCCAAGAAGGGTCCCAGATCTGGGTGTCTTTAGAGAGTAACCTCTGTGTCAGCTCAGAAGCATTTTAGAATCTATGTGTATGGGTGACACTCATTCTTCTTAAGACGCTCATGTGGGGCATAGGGAAATTGGGGGTGCCTCTTTGCTGGCGCTTCGATACATTCTAGATATTTATTTTTCGGGGTAGAGGGGAAGTGATGGATTCCTTAAATGACATCATGACGTTCCCTTGCTCTCTGTCGCTCATTAAAGTATTATGTAAAATATTAACGGAAGGATGAAATAATCAGATTTTGGTTAACGAAACGTTTGCTTCACAGAAAACTTCTGCTCTCCAGAAATGCTGCCAGCTCTTTTGATATTTAACAGGTGTGATGGGGGAGTATGAGCCAAAGATTGAAGTGCGTTTTCCTGACACTATACAAGCCGCAAAGGATTCATCTGTAAAACTGGAATGCTTTGCCCTTGGAAAGTAAGGTTGTTTCGTTTTGTTTTGTTTTGTTTCCTGGTGTTTTAATTAAAAAAAAAAACAAAAAACAAAAAAAACCCTTTTTGTTATTCAAACATTGCTCTAAGGTAAATTACCAAATAGATTTCAAATGCCGGGCGAAAGTGAAACTTTCTGATGAGAATTTGAACAAACGTGCCTAATACTCTGAAAATGATCCGGGCTGCGATTCTCCCCTAACTGTCTGGTGTCCCCTCGAGTTTGAGCGTAACGAGGCCCATTCAGGCAGCACCCGGCAAAAGGGTAAGTGAGCCCGTGTCAGGCGGTGGGCGGGCAAGCCACTGCGCCCGATGTGCCCTGCCCGCCACCACGCCCGCCAGCGTGCCCTGCGACCAGACGGGCATCGCCTGCAGGGTGGCCCGGCTTAATTAATCAGCGGTGATTGTAAGTGAAAACCCTGCACCGCTGGTTTCTAAAATAAGACTAATTGAAGGTCATTGTCCACGGTGGGTAATTAGAATTGAGCCCAGCTGGCCCCGGCGGTGAGGTGTTCTGTTCCACTCAGAAACGTGTTTATCGCCGTCAGGTTTGGAATGCTTCGAAGTCCGCCGAACATCTATCTATACTTCTTGCATATGATATTTAGACATCTCTTTATCTTTGGGGAATAGGCACAATTTATTTTTATGCCTGTGAACACCAGTCCCCAAATAACGAGACAGACAGACTAGATCTGCCTTTTTTAAACACGGATGTGCGTGTGAGTTACCTGGGCACGTGGTTGAATTGAGATTCTGTGGGTCTGCACTGAGATATGACTTCATTTCCAGCCAGCTTCCACGTGAGAGTGATTCTTATTGTCTGTAGAACACACTTTGAATAGCGAGAGACTTGACTCTCACCAGCAGATTTGAGGGATACCTTTAAATCCGGAGTCTGTTCCAACGCAGTCATCGCATTGAGAAACGGTGATTGACAGTCCAGTCTGTGGGAGACAGCCCTGAAAGTCTCCATCTTGTTTTTATAGAAACTTTGTGCACCCCAAGTAATGCTGGTTACGAAGTCTCATAGGTTCCGTTCTATGCATGAAATTTTGTCGATCTTTAAAATAACTTTTTCAAGTTATTCATTTTTCATGTATTAAAAAGTTCGTTTTTTATTTTCATACAGTACCGGTCCCATAATATTTGTCCAATAATTATTGATCGATTAAATTATTCATAAGAAGGTGACAAACAGGGACTTTATGTCACAGTTTTCATTTGTTTGCCTGCCTTTTAGATATGATGGACTTTGACCTTTTCCAGGCTTTCTCGGAAATTTTACAAAAAGAAAATGTGTGTCAGCAAAATACTTTGAGAGTTAGATGATTTATTTAAAAAGAAAACCAATGAAAGCTATCTGAAAAGAATATCAATAGCCTTTTCTACCATATTTGGCATCAGAAAGTATGGATTCCTGAAAATTTAAAAATACTTACGTAATAAATAACTAAAAATTATTGAGACTGGTTTTCAAGACTCTTACATAAATAAATTTCATTTGTTAAGCATGTAAAACTAAGAATTTATGATATATATAATCTATTACATATATTATATATATAATCTTCATAATGACAAGAGGAATGTCATATTTTTATTATTTATGACAAAATCGAGGCTCAGCTTGGATGAATAACCTGTTCCATAGCACAGGTATGAGGAAGGTGAGGGCACTCAAACTAGTCTCCTCGGATTCTAAATTCTAACCAGGAACTGTAAATGGATCAGGAAAATGCTCTCAGGTCAGTGGAGGCAGATGCAGTACGCGTTCTTCTCAAGAGCTGTCTGACCTTCAGCAAACACGCTTTCTAACCTCCGTGAATTTCCAAATTCTCATCCGAAAGGAGTTTGTTTTGAAGATTAGAGTGGAAAATACATGTAAAAAACAGCACTGGGCTCAGCATCCGGGCAGTAAATGTTCACTGAACTCTCCTGAACCCAAAACGCCAGCTCTGATCTCTTTCTGTGGAACCAGTGTTCGCGTCAGTGGGATGGTCAAACCAGAAGTCACTGTCTCACAGAGACTGAGTTCTCTCGTCTCTTGAGCCCGTGACTTTTTTCTCAGCTGCAGTACAGATGACGGCACAGGACAGAAAGTCAGCAAGCAGGGTCTGTCTAAAGTAGAAAAGGGGCGAGAACTTAGTTGATCAATATATTCTTTGAATTGCTCGCGTATCAAATTTCTTAATTTTATTTATTTCTAAGTTTATTTCTAGAAAAATGCAAACCTATGGAAATATGAAAAGAGTTATATCTGGACAACCACATACCCCTCATCTGACTGACAGAGTATAAATCCTCTCCACATTCCTATCTCTCATGGAAATATGAAAAGAGTTATATCTGGACAACCACGTACCCCCTCATCTGACTGAGTATAAATCTTCTCCACATTCCTCTCTCTCCACACACACACTCACACACTCACACATTCACACACACACACTCACACACACACTCACACACTCACACACACTCTAACACTCACACACTCACACACACTCACACACACTCTCACACTCACACACACTCACACACACACTCACACATACACACATGATTAAAACCGATGGGTGAAAAGTAATAACTTAGTCTGCACTTTGGGGAGCGTAGTTATACCACTCAAGACGTAGACCCACACCCCTTTTTAGTCCAGCCTGCTATGAAAGTGAGGGGTGGAAGGAGGGAAAAAGGCGGAGTCAGGAAATTGTGGCCGGCCCGTGCGGAGCTCAGCGTTTGAGCTCATCCTTTGGATCCAGTCATGGTACGTGCCGTGAGAGTCCATTGGACGTGTGTGGAAGAAGCGGATTCACCATTCAAACCAGGCAAGTGAAGCTACAGACTACGTGAAGTAAATCGTTGAGACTTCTCAAATGGAGAATTTAGGAATAAATAAAACCATCTTTCATTTTATTTATTAGCTTTGTGGTGATGGAAACGATCACCATATTAAAAGCTGGCAACCAATAAAAATGAATACAATGACAGTTATCGTCTAAAAATGTGTGGGAGCACCTACACATCCTGCTAAAACTGGGGTTAGCAATATCTGATACAGGAAGATTTAGTTAATATCCTCTCAAAATGGTAAATTTTATATGTATGGACAAAAAAATTAGCTGATAAATTATATGTCCACTGTTAAGTTTATACATAAAAAAAACTTTTGCACATGATGTAAATTAAAGAAGAAGATGAAAATGATGAGAATTACTTAACTGAACTTCATAGACAATTGTCAAAAACATCATTGATTTAATGGAATATACACCATAACATTTCATCTGATAAAATCACTGTTGAGATTATGTTTATTAAATTAAGTCATTCGCATGGACGTGGAATTCCTCGAGGTTAAAACGAAGCCTCCCAAGCATCCTCTGGGGCAAAGCGACCGTGCCAAGACGCTCTGTGTAGGAGACATGTTTCACGTCTGGATTGTCGATACTTTGCTTATTTCTTCAAATGAACAAAACGTCTATGAAAAGGCTTTGCATACTTTGGAAGGTAATACGAATATGAGCTACTACCAAAGAGAGTGTTTACGTACGCTTGCCAGTAGTTTTTAGAAAACAAATTGCATTATTGTCGAAACATTGCGAAGATACTTCAAATGCTTTTTAGTCCATTATCAAAGTCAACAGCTACCCGATACTATACCAACTTTTCTAAATTTGCAAAATTAACAAAAATAAAACAACACACGCCCTACAAAATTAATGATGTGGTGGGCGTAATTAACCATCTGAATATAAGAAAATCAAAAGTCTTGCTTTTTAAATTATGCATTTGTAAGAGTAGTTTTATTGTGAAATGTTTTTATAAACTCTGTTGAATGATAAAGCTGAAAATGACAAATCTTCAAGCCAGTCTCCAAGAAATTGAAAGACACTAACCTTTAACACACGTGCATACACACACGCACACGCACACACGCGCGCGCGCGCACACACACACACACATACACACACACACACACACATGCACACACACTCCCCGGAGGAGGACTGAATGCTTTTCATGAACATTTCAAAGCAATATTGTGTTCTGGAGGGAGCTAGACTTTGAATTCAAAGAATCAGGGTTTAAATCCTAAGTTCCTTTGTCAATGGCTGGGAGACTGTGACCTGTTTCTTATCTGTAAAACAAAGGCCAAAATTAGATGGATAATATAGAAGATAGGTAGATGATAGATAGATCATAGATAGATCATAGACAGATGATAGTTAATGGATGATGATAAATGATAGATCATAGATAGATCATAGATGATAGTTTAGATAGATAGATAGATAGATAGATAGATAGATAGATAGATAGATGATAGGATAGATAGATGATAGATACATAATAGAAGATAGATGATACATAGATACATAGATGATAGATAGATAGATAGATAGATAGATAGATAGATAGATGATAGATAGGATAGATAGATGATAGATACATAATAGAAGATAGATGACACATAGATAGATAGATAGATAGATAGATAGATAGATAGATAGATAGATAGATAGATAAATGGTAGATGATAGAGTAGGATTTTTATAAGGACCAGGAATACTAGTCAACGTACCTACTCACCCACCAGAATGTCTGGCCCTTAATAGTCAACAAATAGTAACCAGTGTATCCATCATGGTCATTGCTGAAGCTGGTTTGGCTGAGGGGGTGAAAAGAAACACCAGCCAGAGACCAGGGGTCTCCGCGTTGATTTCACGCTAGCAGTCCCCGAGGACCTGCTCGGAAGCGCGGGTCACTGCTGTCCCCTTCCTCACTCATCTGGCAGATCGAACACCGGTTATTCATTAGCTCAGCAAATATGCACCGACTACTCATTCAATCATTAATTCTTTCATTCCAGAGAGAGGGGGAGAGAGGTTCGTTCAGATCTTCTGTCCACTTACTGGGGGTGTTTGTTTTCTTATTGTTGAGTCGTGAGTTCTTTGTGCACTTTGGATACAAGTCAAATAT